TTGAAAATGACCAACAAGCGGAACAGTCCGAGGTTGCTTCAATCGATAGATCAGAATTATAATAATGTCGGACTTTTCCTTGTAAGTAAGAAAAACTATGCAGAAGCAAAAACAAATTTTAAAAAGACGTTAGAAACTGGTTTGCAAGTCTTATTTTCGAACCATCCATCGATTGCTGAGTATGTGAAAAATATAGCTTTCGCAGTTAAAGCTGAAGACCGTAAGATCCAACCAATATAACAGGACTTCTGCACTTTTATTCAGACTTTACTTTGTTTTTCTGTATATTTTTTCTACTGTTAAAAAAACACTCTAATACACTATTTTGGTTGCAGTTTTCTCACTTTGTTTTTTTATAATTTTGCAGCATTTTTACATTCTTCGAGTACAAAACAGTCGTATTGGGGATCTCCTTTAAACCGACATTGTGAAAATGTCGATGTGAGAGCTACTCGAATCAGTTATAATGCGATTTGTTTGATCCTATTCGTGGATATTTCCTTTAAATACAATCTCCGTTTTTGCTATTTCAGATAGTTTCTTTTTGCTTCAGCAACGGTTAGAAAGTACAGTAAGACAACATACTAACACAACATTACCGTCGAGCAATAACTCTTTCAGGATATTGAATCTGCTATTTTAGTTTAATGATAGACATAGTTATTAAGAGTAAATTAATCAGTTAAGCTTTGTATATATGGTGAAGATAGATTTTATTATAGTCTAGAGATACATGCCCGAGCAACCTTTTTCTTCCGTTAATGGTACAAAGAGTATTCAGAATTTCACTGGTGTTTGGCTTGATCGTGACTGGACTAATATAAATGATACGCAAACACATCTGACTGATATTTTTAATTATTTGAGATATTTGAGGATTTAACGGAATGTTGTGCTTATGTACATTCCGTTCGGTGTGGAAATCTCATCCTTATTGTATGTGGTTCAATAGTTAGATGCATTATGGCATCATTATGTAAACAAGCCAGTATAAATCGTATTTATATTTATTGTACAAATGAGGAACATAAAAAATAGAAAACGGTTAGATACTCAAAAGTTTGTGGTACTTTTCGCGATAAAAATCTGCTATATTAGAAAAATTAAGCAGCGATATTAAAACACGTGAATCGAGAATGTCCGGTATCTTTGAAACAAATAAAGAATCAACTGATTTTGATAATATAATTCAGCCACCAATTGGTATATATAATTTAGATTAGAAATTTAGGTAGAGAAAATATGTCATTATTAAACATCAAATAATGATCGAAGTTTTATTAAACACGAAATACACAAGTGATGCAAAGAACGATATGATAGAATTTTGCCAAGACTATTATAAAAACAATGAATTAGAGCAAGAAGCTATTAAAGAATATCAAGACATGTATTGTTCAGAAGCAGCAATCGATTGTTATACGCGAAATACGTTTGTCTTTCGTTTATTGAACAAAGCATTTCGCACAGAAGACATTGATTACATCTACATATTTCGTTCGTTCATTACCGATCTTTATCAACATCAGCTAACATGAATGTTGCAAATTTTTTTGCAGATTGTACCAGGTCAAATTGTGCATCAGTAATTTTTGAACTGGATATCGATTACGTCATACAAAAAAAACCGTTTGTTGATATCAAAGAATCTAGTAACAATAAAGATGAAGAAGAAATACTATTTTCAATGGTAACAATATTGAAGATTAAATCGGTGGATTTTCACAGTCAGACTTGGACGATAAAATTAGCTCTGGCTGGAGAAGAAACAATAAAGCCTTAAGCATTATTACAATATTTCAAACAGCAAATTGAATCAAAACCATGTACATTATGTTATGATCTGCCTTCCCCGGCAACTCATAAGGTTCATTCTCTCTCCATTCTGCTCTTGTACCATTCTTGTGCAATTCTGTTCTTGCGCAACACTTTCGTCAGTCTGTGATCTTCCTAACTATTTCTGCTGTTATGTAATTCATGAGCAACTCTTGCAAAACTCTTGTTTAACTTTGTACTATATATAGCTGTTCATCTGCTTCAAATAAATATATCGGAGTGAGAGTTGATTCTCACTATAGCTCATTTCTACGATTAGAATTAGTCACTAGAGAATCCATATCCTCACACATTATCAACATCAGGAAATATTTTAACTGAAATGTGTGATTATGATAAGACGGAAAAATATTACATAGTGTTACAAGAACAATCATCAGAAAATGATAAATGTCTAGCAGTAATCTGCAACAATACTGGATGTTTTTGATACAAAAAAAGGATTACGATATCGCATTAAAATATTTCGAAGGAGCTCACACTATCATAAAAAAACATCTGATTTTTGGACAGATAGCTCGATAATTCGATGTAACAAACTTTCTTATCCAGCAGCATTATCTCAAGAACAACGAAAACAACATCAGTATAAACTGAAATGTTTGTTAGCAAATGGTCCATCTTTTTCAAAATGTTTCAGTAATATTGGTGCTGCTTATTATATGAAAGATGATTTTAAGATGGCATTAGAATGCTTCGAGACATCGCTTCTTCATCAGTCATCTACGCTTGATTTATCAGCAATTTATAACAATATTGCGGCAGTACACTATGCCGGAGGAGATAATGACGGAGCTAGAACACACTTTAATGAAGCATTTGATCTTGGCCTGAAAATACTGCCAGATAATCATCCATGGATTTTAGATTATACAAAAAATTTTAAAATATTATTGGGATGTAGGAATTGCTCTCAGATGGCAGAAAGTGAATAAACAAGAATATAAAAAATTACATAGCAACTAGATTTTGCACGTTCTTCAGTTCTTTTTTTATCAATATTAAATTCTTTAGAATTGACGAGTTGTTTTTACACACCTGTCCTTTGGTTTTCTGTTTGTTCTTTTCTGTCTCATGCGCAAGACAACTGGAAAAAAACTAGTGCGGCACCCTACATATAAATACTTATTATACTTTAATGAAATCTTGTTGTGAAGTACAGAAGATTTTATTTTGTTTCTGAAGAACTTTTCAAAATCCAACCTGATATTAGCTCGATTCACTCAATCTTGTCTGATCTATAATCAAAATAGTAGTATTTCAGAAAGAAATTGATTTTAATTTTACGCTTACTGCATTTTGATTAAAGTACAAACAAGACTGAGTGAATTCAGCTGATATTAGACTGGATTTTGAAGAGCACACTTTCAGCTAAACACGTGATTGGTAGGCGAATTCTGATATCTTACCGATTATACTAATCTAAAATGTTCTATTTAATTCTTTCAAACACATAGCGAATTTCAACTTTAGATTTTCTTTTGATAACAACATTTGAGCTTTAACATTAAAATATGCCAACCCCCAAGTCTGTTGAAGACTATGTCAAGATAAACTTTACTTTCGTATACGTCGTTATGCAAATGGAAACACTAAATAATATTTTATAATTTTGAAAGAATATTACATATAAATTAAATGTAAGATTGAGTTTATATTAATTATAAAATTAAAGTATTAGAGTTTCTCCTTCTTTTGTATGATAAAAGAAGAAGCCGAAGATTGGAGATGATGATGAGAATTCCTCATGTCTTAAGATGAGAGAAGAAGAAGTTTAGAATTTAAGTTTAGAGTTTTTGAAGCAGACGAAAAACTGATTTTTTAATAAAATACCGACATGACGATAGTGTGTCTCCTTATTTCTCGTCACTATGAAACATAAAATAATAATAAAATTAATTATTAACTGATTCCACTCTCTCTATATAAAGAGCGCATAGAAGAAGTTTCCCAAACTTTTTAAAGGAGAGAGAGAGCAAAAATGAAACATGTAACATCAAGCGGCCGTCACAGGAGGGTGCCTCTGGATAGCTAAGATACAGAAATATGACAGAAAAATGCGTTCACAGGGAACTCAAATTGTGCACGACCTCATATAAGAAGAATAGAAAAGTCTTCAAGGGCAAGATTTTAAGTTAGAAGAATAGCAAAGGATGAATTCCAATACTGCCGGTTGATAAACCCCCTGGAAACCTTTGTGTTTTGGTCCATGTTTTACAGTCAAAGAAGTAGTCCTCAATTTGGGTTAGTAGAACATTTTCCACTATATCACCATGTGACAAGACATGCACATAATTTATTCAGGTATGTTTAGCATTAATCGATGCTTGTGTATTCACGCATGATTGATTGTTAATGAGAATAGGGTACACAAAACATCTTATATTTCAAACCAATCGTGGGAATAACTTTGAAAGTGAGTCTTTATTCTAACTTAGTTCTCTAAGTAGCAATCTTTGATTTGTATATTCTTTTTCTTCAGTGATTATTGTTATAATCGCACTCGGACTTGCACTAGGTCTATTTATAATTGGCCTATGCTTTTTGGCACTCGGTCCACTTTTATTATTCATATTTGTGGTGATATGTCTGATTGTCCTCTTCGCCGGTTTATTTTGGGCATTTGGCTATTACAGGATGGCCGGCAGCAGACCAAAATCGAGACGTCAATAACTGTACTGTTTTGACGTCATATGTTTGTTGAAGATTTTACTGTTGTCTAACAAATGATCAATGCTTCCTTAGTACAGGTTTTTGGGATTTTATCTCGTCTGAACAAGATATAAATGCCAACTAGTTAGTAAAAATATCTTTTCATTGCTTTTTTCGTAAGAGTACGCTTTGTAATATTAGTTTCAGTTTAAGATATGTTGTAAGAATTAACTCTCTATTGATCTGATGAATCGATTAAACTCTAACTTGAAGCTTAATGGGTTTTCGAAGACACTCTTCATGCAATAAACAACTGTCTCAAAACGTTTGAACAAACAGTGCTTCTGGAAAACTGCAAAGACTCACTACCGAAATACAATAAAAAAAAATTATTTCCGAACAATACATACAAATTTTCACTATAGCGATCGTGTTTACGACCGAGATTTTGGAACAAGGTTTTTTAAAAGAGCAATTGGGCAGCACTTTTTCAATTGTTTTCAGTTCTGAGAAGTATCAAAAGGGTAGAAATCTTATTTTGATGCATTTATTTTGAGAAAGACTGAATAATTAATAATTGAGATTATGACAAAAGAAAAAAGGTAAGCTATATACAGAGGAAAAAGACGATCACGCCATACAATAAAAGAATCTGTTTTCTTTTACAATGATGTTGGACTTGACGAAGATGATAGTCTTTTGAGTGTACACGCTCAAATACGACAATATATCAACTATTTCGGAGCATTCGATGAACTCATAACTATATCACTTCTGTCACCACAGCCAAATTTTTTTTTTTGATTTTTTTAAAGATCCAGGAAAGGTGACTACTAAAGTGAAGCTTTTGAGTGCTCACTGTGCTCATTCCATGCTTAAAATAAAATAAAGTTGTCTAGGTGATAGAATACAGAATGTCCACAGGCGTGGACATTAGGGCTGAGCAACATGAAAAGGGTAATTTTTTCTTTGTGTTGTCCGAACTTGTTCTGTCAAAATTCAACACTGTGACAGAACCAAGGTTATACTCAGAATCAGGATCAAAAACGGAATCGAATGACATGGGTCTCAGTATTTTGCGGAATATTTGGACGTTGAGTGAAGATTTTGGTTTGGATCCATCCTGCTCGTCTTCAACGGTTCTCGAAGTAAATTTCAGTTTTAAAATTACCAAAATCCGTTTTCTAGAACCAGTTTTTAATGGAGAATAAGAAAAAAATCATTTTGGAAGTTTAAAAATAGAATGAATGGTTGAATTTTGAGTTTTATTCAAAATTTTGTCTATTTTCACATATTCGATCGAAAAGTCGATATTTAAAATATTTTTAACTGAAAAATGTGTTCTGAAATTGTGAGATTAAGCTTTTTCTGTGCAACTCGATTTGCCCTATCCAACCATGGCAAAAATATGAAAAATAAAAGTCTGCACCTTAAAAGAAGAGAAAGAAAGAATGGGTATATATTTAAAAATGAATACTTTTTATGTCACTCCCCTAATGCGGACATTGAAGTACCGGACACGGTGCATCAAGACAACTTCACAGAAAATTTCTTATCTTCTGTATTTGTAGAAAGCATCCATGTAGCAACAGTTATCTAGCACTACATCTGAAAACCCTTGTATTGCTAAGGCTATAGAAAAAGCTTTTAAAAAAACTCAAAAATTTGAACCTCTTTAATTTCAAAAGTTAATAATCTCAGTCAAGATTCATAGAAAAAAATTTCTGTTTTACCAATCGAGAGCTTATGAAGTCTCTAAGGTCGGAACAAAATCCGGTTCTTACATGATGCTTCGTTTTTTTTTGGTATATCAACTTTATCAATGTCTACGGACGTGGACATCCGGGGATAAAGGGTTAATGAGGCATGATTGTAGCACGTAAATTTCTGATTAAAATGAGATATATTCCAGCTCTACACGACCTTTCTTTGCAAACTTATACAGTTTACAAGAAAAGCCCTAAATTTATTTCTTCTTATTTCTGTAGCTTTGAGTCGAAAATGAATATTTAGGGCTTTTCTTGTAAATTCTATAATAGCAGGCTAAATCTGCTTTTAGGTTTGAGATCCATCAAAAATCTTCTCTATACTCAGTTTTCAATGCCGAATTCGAAAAAATTAGTTTCAAAACTTGAAACTAACTTTTCTGACTCAGCTCGATGTCCTCTATCCAACCATGTATAAATATATCAAAAGGAAAAAGCCATGGAAACTTCGAATTATTGGCACCTTATAATAAAACTGTTTAATATTGTGTTGTAAAAGTGTATGATAAAATTGAGGGAAAAGCCACGTCGATTATGTCGACGTCAGAGAAGAAGTCAACATGGAATTAAAAAGAACCCGTTGTCAGATCCATCGAGAAATTATGCATCTAGTACCCAATTTTTATCTAATTTGGCTGAGCGAGCAGCGTGCACCAAATTTTCTAATGGTGTACAAATGGTTCCAAACTTGATAACGAGCTTTGTGCCACAAAAGTTAGCCATTCATCATGAGTTTTATGTGGTTTATCAATTAATAATAGGATGAATGGACATCGCTTTAATGTTAGATTTGAAGTTAAATACATTTCTTAAAGGTGCGAGAACTCAACGTTTTAACTCAATTATTTATGGCGGTTAATATTTTTTCTGAGTCAGATATTTTCTTCTTGTGCTAACACAAAATAAAAAACAAAATCTTTACTTGTGTAGTGGTATACGTTCAGCGCGTTACTGACATAAACTGCAAGTTGGAAAAACTTATATAGTTTTTCTTGCTTATGGCACGAATACTTACCATCCAATGGATTGTCAGGAAGTGAAAGTTGTTAACAAAAAACCCTTACTGTGCTATAAAACTCATGTGATTTAATACAATTCCCATCGATGGGTTGTAATGAAAGCAATGTTCAATGTCCGGCAGTTTCACATGATTGTATCGTCGTTGTTACCGTTCCACCTACTGCCTCAAATGCTGTTTCGATTGTTGTTTGAATCGAACATCAAGTCAATAAACAATAATAATAGAAAACTGTAATACATGTTAACTATAATCGAAACTAAATGACAATATTTCGCACCGTCTCCACGAAATGTTTACAATTTTTATTGCAACTTATCACAAGATAATATCAATAACAAACTTTTGAAAAAAAGATATGTTTATCTAACACAATTTGTAAATAATAATACTGATTATGTTAACAGGAACGAACTGTCTAAGGTAGATCAAAGAAAATACTCTGAGAAACAATGCTGGACATAGTAAAGATTATTTCGTGATAAAAAACTCAACAAAAAAGATAACGCTTTAAATATGTATTTTCGGGTTAAATATCAAGAAAATCGTCAAAACATAGCTCATGTTTGTTTATCATTTTTTCATTTACCATCATCATTCAACAATCTGAACTACCTGTATTGAGCGGCATATTTGGTAACTGACTTATGACTTTATCTAAAATTGGTTTAATTTTTGCTATATTATCATCTGTTATTAGTGGACTACCGAACACAATCGCAAGTTGATTAGTTTTTAATTCATCGTAAATTGCATTTAGAGGTTTAATAAGAAGATTAAAATCGACTATATTTCCAATAGCATCTTTAAGTACAGTCGATGTTGATGACAAAACACTAATGTGAACAATAATTTTTTTCAATTCGAAATTGATGGATGATGCCAGATCGCGTTGTTGTTGTAAAGTGGTCAATGTGTTTTTTGATATTTGTAAACGATTACGTGCATCTGCTAATTGTGCATTTGCTGAATCTTTTTGTTGTTGATATCCATTAACTGTATTTTGATAATCGGTTACTTGTTGTCTGGCACGAGCAAGATCTCCTTCGGCTCTTCCACGGTTTTCTTTGGCACTATCAATTCCCCCCCAGTTGAAAACAGGACATACTATTGGGTTAAGAAAACTAAAAATTCCTTTACGTCGACGCATACAATTTCTTGCAGCGTCCACTTTTCGTTGTGCTTCTTGGAGTGCTGCTTCAGCACGAGAGAGTTCTTGCTGTTTACCTTCGAGAGCATTTTGAGCAGCAGACAACTGATTTTGAGCACCTTGTAATGAAACATCGATTTGCGCTACCTGCTCTTCAATACTTTTGATTTGACTTTCTTGACTACTAGTACTGGCAACAGCTGTGGCCAATTTTTTGTCAAGTTCATCCCGAATATCGTCACTGGCATTGAACGTTGTAGATAATGATATTGTTAAGTTCGAAATTTGACAATTCAAAATGGAAGCAAGTGCTGTGACTGTTGTTTGATTGGTTAATAATTGACTTGTATTAACAACAGACAGTTGCTTCAAAATGTCTTGTAATGTTTCGTAGGCATCTGTATACGGGGGTACAACGTCTTCCGACATTTTTGTTTTATACCATACGCCAGTATCATCAGTAGACACACTACATACCAAAGCAAAAAGAAAAACGGTCCAGAAATCCATCGTAATGTGGAATGCCTGAATAGAAATAAAAGACTATTCAATATGCGAAAGAATAGAGTTAATGAAATATCGGCGAAAGCATATGTCTTATATACACTGCTGAAAATATTTTTTTCGAACATGTCTTGATAAACAATTTGTAATCTCAATTGAAACTGAAAAGCTGGGGATATAACCAAATTGTTGTTTTAATCATCGAAAACACTTGTAACTTTAATATTTATTGAAGTAAATATTGCTTTTGTCATGATTTGAATAGAACCTGAGATTCTATTTTAAAAACGTCAATAATTCTAGCGTCATAGGTTTGATTTTTCATGAATCATTAATGTTCCGCATACTCAACGGGTTTTTTACCCCACGAATAATTAAAACAGAATGAGTAAATCAGAATGAGTACATATGAGGTTCTCAACGTCTCAAAACATACTCTTGTCTGGTTTTTACCCAACAATCATATGTACTTTTCTAAAATAATCATCCGAGCATGATTTGATGATTTTTATGTAAAAAAACATCTACGTCTTTACATTGTATGGGTAGTACTACTGCTATTTTTCCGTTCACCTAAGAGGTATTCTTTTTTTCTGCTTTTATTAAACAGACACGTAAAGCGTAAAGACCTTGTTAGGCGTATTTTTACATAAAAGTCACTAAATCATGCTCGGACGATTATTTTAGAAAAGTGCATATGATTGTTGGGTAAAAACCAGACAAAAGTATGTTTTCAGACGTTCAGAACTCCACATGTATTCATTCTGATTGAGTTAACTATTTTAATTATTCATGGGGTAAAAAACCAATTCAGTATGCGAGACATTAATGATTCATGAAAAATCAAACCTATGACGCTAGAATTATTGATGTTTTTGAAGTAGGACTCATGAGAAATCTGCATTTGTCGCAAATTCATCTTTTCAGCTCAGGTCGATTAACATAGCGGAGTGAGAATCAACAGACGGAGTATCACTTCCCAGCACCTCCCTGTAACGGTCACAATACTGTTGCAAGCTTTTTTGCATAACAAAAATAGTCCGAAGAATACAGTACAACTGATATTCCGGCAATATTGGGAACCGCGATTAGATTGATTTTTACTCGAGCAATTCCATCAACTAGTCAAATGCAGATTAGTAGTTTGAAAGCTGAGGTTACGAAAGTATGTAATAGAATGATTGCCTTAAAAACACTAATAAGGAATTCGGAGCATGCATTTCCATATTAGAAAATGATCGATTAAGTTTTTTATTGCACCGTCGCATATATTCAAACTAGAAGAACATTATGAAAATTTAAAACAAAAAAGAGGAAAAACTAATCTTAAATTAGTGTCTTCAATAAGACATTTTGTTGCTAATTTCGCTTTGCGTTTTGATTATTCGCAACTGCTAAAATCAATAAACGACATGTTTAATGAAAAGCCTAATATGGATTTCTTGTCATCCAACGATCAAATGGTATTCATTTGATATTTAATGATTTAAGTCAAGTTTGTGGACTCAAAATTTGTGTCACGCAGGAAAAGATCGTTGCTGTCGTAGTTTATATCTCAGGATGTTGCTTAGTTAGAAGAATTTTCATTGAAGTTGTTTCCAGCATTTCTGACTTTCACCATTAGTTTCTAACATCCCACCACCGTTCCGTCTCTTCGAACATATTTATTTATAAATTCGTCTTCAGCGATTCGCATCGCCACAATGTTATTGTATTGTTATCGTTAGTTTCGTTACATACTTCTTCTGGTCCTATCAGGCCTGCTTCTTAGCGTTATGGTGTCACATTGGCTGCTACAGTGGGTCAATTACATCAACGACTTTCTTTCGTGCTAACCTGCTGGCTTCATCCGCCGCAGTAGGAACAATAGCGTCATACAGGACCTTCACGACGTATGGCATGGCCAACATCGCGTGCAAGAATTCTGAATAGCAGAAAATATTTTCGGCAGCCTTCATTAACTATTCGATGTAGATAGTCACTGAAATAGGAGCCATTGAGTACATAAGAAGAAAATGTTTACTTGTCCAGTCATTCAAATAAAAGCAAGAGACAATAAGCACACTACCCTTGGTACACTATCCTTTATACTTAATCTGTTTTACCACACACCAATAACAAGTGGATTCGTACATTCGCATTTGCATTACATTTCTGTCTTGAGTCGCATAAATATAGTGAGCAAATGCTGTTGTTGGAAAAACTACATTGCAAAATGACTTTTAGTTGGATTTTACTATCAAGGCTTGCCTTTGAAGTGGGTATGCAACAGTTACGGTTCGCTGTAACTGTAAAAATACAGTGTTACACTGATACACTTAAAAACTGTCACAGTTAAATCTGATGCAATTGATAATCGAAACTGATCATAACTGTCAGATAAAATCTATACGTAGTAGCACAGTTTTTGATCTATTCGAATAAAAAAGTAAATAACAAAAAGTTTTGTTTAAATTATTATGTCTTTGAATTTTAGTTTTGCTTCACATATATCATCACTTTTGTTCAACAAAATCTTATTTTATTTTTCTTGCAAGAGTCTTAACTGTGCTGGTTTTTAGCTGTACTATTTTTACAGTTCTAGAGTTAGATTTAACTGCTTTTTAAGTGCAGCTGGTGCATACCTACTTCAGAGTGCTGAAAAGCTTCCGCATTGTTATGAACCATCATTCGAAAGCATTCTTTTATTTGAAACAGATAATGTAGCATCGCTATGATAATATGAATTAGATAGATAGTGTCCCGGTGTCGTTCATACTTAAACGGCTGTCCTTAAAAGCATAACGTATACCTAGTGAAAGAGATGCCTGACAATATATGTGAATACCATAACGTCTCAACTGAGATAGAATCCATATTTTGATCATGAAACGTGCGTTGAAATGTGCATGAGTGCAGTGTATAAAGTCTGTCATTCAATAGTTCTACAAAATCTTCAAGAATAACAGCAACCTTCACGCCATTTTGCATAGTTAGACGTTTTACACAAAATTCGTGATTCAGACATAAGCACTTATGATGACATGGAGAGCAAAGAATAAGAATTGATTTTATTGTTACGTTTTTTCCATACATACGATTACTTGATAATAAATTAATAGATGGTAATATTGGACCATGTAACGTGGGGATAATTCCTTAGATAGTCAGTAGAGGTACATCCTATACCTAATTTCATTTCATTCACTATTGAATAATAGATCTTTATACACTGCACTCTTGCACAATTGCACGTTTCAACACACGTGTCAAAATTGTATTTCAGTTGAGAAACGAATGGTTTCTCAACTGAAATACTGATGACAATATGGACTGTATCTCATTTGGTGCAAACCAGTTAAACCTAAAAAGTAATCAAAGCCTTTCCCAATGAGGCCCAATTGTAGCCCGCAAATTTCTGATTAAAATGAGATATATTCTAGCTCTACACGACCTTTCTTCGCAAAGTTATACAGTTTACAAGAAAAAATTAATTTCTTCTTAGTTCTGTAGCTTTGAGCCGAAAATGAACATTTAGGGCTTTTCTTGTAAATTCTATAACCTTCTCAAAAAAAGATCGTATAGGGTTGGGAGATGTCTCATTTTAATCAGAAATGTGCAGGCTACAATCATGCGTCATTAAGAAGGGTTTTGGTTATTTTTTAGAGTTTCTGAAAAACTATTTTTCAAGAAAACGGGTCTTAGAAGGCCTAGCGCCAAACGGCATGGTGATATTCGGAATCAGCACCGTCGATTATCTATAACTCACTAGGTTTCCGCTCAAGAGCGATTTCACACTTTGGAAGTTACCTCGTTAGTCATAATTTGAAAAAATGTTTTTCAACAAACTAAGAACGAAAAAGTGGAAAGAATTTATCGAGAGTTTAAGAATAAAATAAAACATTTGTTTGCTTTGACTCATGACAGAAATATAATGCAAATGAATGCATGTACGAATCCACTTATTATTCGTGTGAGGTAAAACAGATTAAGGGTAGTGTACCAATAACTTGTTTAAATGAAAAACACTCATTGCTTATTTTCTCTTGCTTTTATTTGAATAACTGCACAATTAAACATTTTCTTCTTATGTACATAGTGTCGCCTATTTCCATGAATAAATACATCCCACGCATCCGATTTCATGGTATAAATTCAGTTTTAAGTCAGCTTTAACAAAGATGAAATACTTCAGAAAGCAGTAACATCAAACTGTCAAATTAAGGTAACGATCATCACTTATGCGTAGCAGAAAATAGTTTTGTTTGTGCATCTCGCACACTAACGAGGGAATCTTTTCAGATGGCCACCTCCGATTTCAGTGACTTATATGTCGTTCGGTAGAGGATAGTGAGCTAGTATTAAGCTAGTATAACAATAAATACAAATCAGTTATCAAATGATGTCACAAACGTCACAAAACTTGCGTCTACTTTAGAGTGTCAAATTCTTAATCTAACAACATCCTTATCGACAGCATTCAATGTTAGCAATGATATTCGCATTCAAGTTAACGAGAAATTGGTTAAAATTGTAGCTAGTATCAGTGCACAAGAAAAAGATATTAAAAATATTAAAATAGCTCAGATTGACGCGGCACCATAAGGTGCTCAAAGTCTACTTACTACCTCCCAAGGTGCTTTAAAAGGTAAACAAGATGAATTAAATGGTGCTGAACAAGCAGTGAGAGATGCAGAAGAAAAAGTAAATAAGGCAAGAGAATGCTTTGGAAAAAGAAAAAAGCGATCATGGTGGACCGCATTTCGGGATACTTTATTGTCACCAATTGGAGTTTTCGAGAAGCCAATTTATTCAGTTGTCAATAGTGGTTGAATCGACAATGCCAAAGACAGTCATGATTGAAGGAGAGAAGATCTTGGTCCTGCTCAACAACAAGTAACAGTTTATCAAAATCAAGTCAATACCTATCAACAACACAAAAGTTCGCTAACTACTCAATTAGTCGATACACGTAATCGTTTATAAATATCAAAGAATGCATTAACTGCTCTTCAACAACAACGAGATTTGATATCGACTATCAACTCACAATTTAAACAAGCCACGTTAGTATTTTATCATCAGCAATACAGATATTTCTAATTATGCTAAATAGTAATAGTGACACGTTAATAGATAAATAGTAGCCTTTTTATAAAATTTTAGAGTTTCTTGAAAAACATAAACTATATATTTGTTCATTTATCTTTGTTGTTTACCATTATCTGGTATCGTATGTTGATCTCACTTAAAGAGCAATAGAGCTTTTACTTTGTCTCTATGATGACATCTATTTTTAACTGTTTTAGATAAACACTATACTGGTGTTACCAGAAGAGAGACGTGTATGATTTTTGTTGAATTTGTGATAACTCGTTTTCCATTACAGTTAATTATGCATTATCTCGTCTTTATTAGTTTATGCAGTTTTGTAGAAGCAACATCATCATTATCAATACCCAAATGGTCAGCTTCAAATAATTCATTAAACTTGGCAGCATGTGTGTTTCCACCAATGATTTCGGCGTTAAATCCATTTTTTGATACTTCTATTGAAAAAATTGAACAGACGAATCTTGGTAGTTTGGTTACAAGTGGTAAACCGTTATTCATTTTAACGCTGGTGACAGATTTATTACGTAGAACACGTCGCGGTACCGGTAAGAAACAACGCAAATGATTTGGAATAGGCTCTTGCACGAAGAACTGTAATGAATAACAGAAGTCTGGATGTCTTCACAGTTTCAAGATGTTCCTCTCTTTGACGATTTGTTTCAAGATGCTTTCCATTGCTGAGGGCACTCAATCCTTTCTCTTTAGAGATTTTGAACTCGTTATGATCTCTTAGCTAACAGAGGTGGGCAATGGACTATCTTTAGCTCCCTGGAGGGGATCGCCTCACAAACTTCCTGCCTCGTCATCACCCCGTATCAAGCCAAGTTTCGATAAATGTACTTCGCGGGATCACCCCGTAACCTCTGTCTAAAATTTTCCTCTGGCATCTCCTCATAGATCCTCCTGAGTCCAGAAAAGATCTGCTAACAGTTATACCAGTACTGATATGAATCAAAAGTTGCAAAAACCACTGGTCGCAGAATTTAGTATTTTGTTTTGTATTTTCTCGTTTTTGAGAGCACACTATATGAAGGAACAACAAAAACTACAATTTCCTTCGTGTGTCTACAAAGTGTGATGGTAACTGATTACACAACAGTAAGTCCGAAATGAAAAAACAGCGAGTTTTTTTGTCATTTATTTACTTTACCAAACATGGCAGAAAACGCAAAGTTATAGAATTTACAGGATGAGGCCTAAATTCCTTTTTCTTTCTGTAGCTCTGAGGTGACAATGAACATTTTGGGCTTATCTTGTAAATTCTATAACTTTGCAAAGAAAGGTTGTGTAGAGCTGGGAGATGTCTCATTTTGATCCTAATTTCGCGGGCTACAATCGTGACTTATTTAGAAAAAGTTTTGGGGATTTTTCAAGGTTTCTAGAAACCTGGTGTTCTGGAGAACCAGTTCATGCAGAGCCTAGCAGCCGATCTCATGATAATATTCGGATTCAGGACCGTCGATAACCTGTGACCCACTGTATTGGACCCCGCAAACGATTTTCAAGTTGGTGGACTTCCCTCGCAAGTCCGGTGTGAAAATGAAATCCTTTGAGCAATGTTTAGTGCTCCAAACTTCGTTGGGAAAAAGTGTGTCACAGCGTGACGGTGATAAAACACAATTATTGAGGGATGGAAAGCTCATTAGAAAGATTCTTTTCTAGCAATCAGTAGTTCATTTACTCTAAAAACTTTCCTCGAGGCGCTTCTAAACTCGCAGCAAATTAGTTTTTAATGTGAAGAACTTCGAATTTAGGACCTTTTTTTGTCAAAGCGTCACGCGCAGAAAAGCGGTTCTAAAAATTTGAGTCTTTAACCACATACCTTCACTTTTATATCAAAAGTAGGGTGTGACGAGCTGCATCGAATGGCGCAAGAACGAAGTTTCTAGCTCTTACACTTTTTGAAAAAGCTCAAATTACTGTATCAAAAATGCCACAGCGTCATGATTGGACAAGTCGAATAGATCAAACTAAACATAACAGCTTTCGCTCACAAGAAAAAATGTCCTTCACGAGATCCGTGTGGTGAAGTTCCTGCCTCGCCAAGCTTTCAAAAAATCTTTCTCGTGGAAGCTGCCGCTTGAAGAATCGCGGGACCGCGCCAGGATCCTCATCCATCGCTCGAACCAACATAGAATAATAAGATTCATAAATTATACAAATGAAATAACTTTTTCTTGTATACTCTGGGGAATCATATTCCTTCTGTTTTCAGAAACTTTGGTAGAAATTTGCTACAATTTGACCCTAAAACACGCGAGATTTATTCCAATTTACTTTACTCCGATTTCGGCAAACTTTTACACTTTTTGCGCAGATATTTGCCGCAGATATAAAACAAGGCAGAAAACGTTTCTGGACGTATTCCGATTTTTGAAACTAGAGCCTCCATGCTCCAACTTCTTCGCGCCGCCATTGAATGAGAACCATTTTTCTTTTCAAAATAGAATGTCGTCGATTGTGTTTATGGCTACCTCTCATAGAAAGGCGGTATAGATCGGGTAGTATGTAGTAAACACTTGAAAATAGTCATCTATGGAATGAGATTCTTAGACAGTGTTCCTTGCTGTTCTTTTCAGCAGAAGACACCATAGACCTGCGATACAATCGTTTTTTAATTGCTGTAGTATGGCTGGTAGCTCAAAGCATCACCAAGCGATCTACGTAGTTCGAAGGTCATCAACAGAAGGAATTCAGTAAAATTTATCAAAGAAGCAGAAAGTGCATCGATTTCTGAGAAAGTTTTCTGGAAACCTTTGAAGTAGGAGAACATTTTTGAGTAGCCCTAAGTACATAATTCAGGGATATAGTACAGACGAAACACAGTCTATCTCGATGCTGAAGTAGTTTGAATTGGAGTTAGATGAATTAGAAGTTTATTAATTTCCACAGTGAACAGTGCAAACAAGCTCTTCCACCTAAAATCGATTTTTATCAGAGTTTTGATGATTTTCGGACAAGAAACATGGCTAAGAGACTCAACCACCGACAGCTAATTAAATTCATAACTCATAACCATGCACTTTCAGTGATTTTGAAAATTCTTATTGAAATTGCATAGATCGCTTGGTGACGCGTTGGGTTACCGGTCATGCTGTAACTATTAAAAATCGCTTGTATCACCGGTATATGTCATCTTCTTCAGAAAAGAACAGCAAGGAACACTATCTGGAAATCTCATTTCATAGTTGAATATCTCCATATGTGCACTACAAACTATCAGAGCTCTATCGCCTTTTTAACAGAAGTTATTGAAAACACAACCGATGACATTCTATTTGTTACAAATGTCACTAAATCAATAAGTTCGACAGTCCAAAGTCTTTTTCACTACAAACAGAAATACCTCGAATAAGCATAGCAAGAGAAACAAATCATTAGTTCTCAGCTGCGGTTCTTCCGTAGTATTCTGTTTCTGAGTTCGTACTACAATCGAAATTTGAAACTGGAATCGTAAGTGTGTTAGTCTGTTATAAAGATTCAAATTTATATGTTATGAGATGGTAAGTGAATGTCCGTCTACATAGGACTGAAATCGGACTTAGCCGTCGGAAACGAGACTATTCATCTTAAACAAATTACAGATGTAAGCACTCAGTTTGATTTGGTAATTGTTTGTTTAGATGTGTCTACTGCAAATTCAAGTCTGTACGATACCCAATTGAGTAGTCAAAGTTTTATCGATCAGCCTTGGGAAGAAATGATCACTGCAGGTCCAACAGCTATTCAACTTCTTGGTCAAGTTATTGTTATATCAAGTAGAGCTGATTTCTCAGTTGAAGATAGTAAACCTGCCGATGGTTTCAAATACATGCAATTTCCAAGATCATTTCGTGCTACATTAATTCAAATATCGAACGAAGGTTGGTCAGCATTTATGAATGCGCATACAAATATGAATAAAATTCAGTTATATATGCAGCAAGTACCCGAGCATATTAAAACATCATTACAAATAATTGCTTCTGGAACACCTCGACTACTAGAAAACTTATTGCCAATGACATTGCAGAGTATATCAAGAATTGGCCAAGAATGTGTCAGTCTATCACAGGAAACGCATAACAAATTTGCTGATGTTATGGCACTATTAGGTGAAGTCGTAGCAGTCACAGCACAATCACAAGGGATCTATGGTCAAAAATTACGCGCAGTAACAATAGAACTGAATGCCTCACAAGTAATGAAAACACAACTAAACAATATTGGAGAAGAAATTGACAAAGAGTATGCTGATATCAAACAATCAATAAAAAACGCACAAGATGCTTATACGCAAGCAATGCGAGATATACCAACAGGTTGGAGTGCTGTATTACAAGGTTTGGTACAAAGCATAGGAAACGTAGTTGTTCGAAGTATAGGCGGTTTGGTTGATGCATTCTCATCTAATATCAAAAACGGCGGTTTAAGTGGAGGAAGAACTGGATTAGATGCAGGAAAAGACATTTTATCTTATAGTAAACAAAAAGCAACTTCAACAGCTAGTGGATTTCTTCAGAACTTACTTGACTTTTCAAATCGTCTCACAAATATTTTACAGAAAGGCAGCTCAGAAAATCCAGTAGATATATTTAAAGCCTTTAAATTAGGTTTCAGTACGACAATATCGTTACTAAGTGATAATGATGAATCGAATCAACAAGTACGCCAATACATAACTCAAGGCATTGATATAATTGATGAATTAACTAACATATTTAAGTCGGGCTCCATTAATTCATCTGATACAACTATTAGCGAAGTGACAGATAAAATTTCAGCCCTAATCAATGAAGTTAAATCATTTGTTAGTGCTGGTGTAGTAAGTGGTAGTAAGGATGGAGTAGCATCACCGATCACAACACAATTAAGTCCTGAAAGTGGTATTGGTGCCAACGAAAAATTTAAAGCCCAACTGGCACGTCAACAACTAGAAATGGAACTCACACGCTCAGATGCTATATTCTCTCAGATGATGCAACAACGAAAAGAATTAAAAGATTTAATGGTTAGAATTGCTAGTTTAGATCTAACACAAATTAGTTATCAAGAAATTATTGAAATTTTAAATGAAGCTATTCGTTTGTTGTCAAATATACGTGAGCAATGGGCGAAATTAGTACAATTTTTCTCGGAAATAGCTGTACGTTCGCAGATAGCCGTAAATGAAACATTAGTACCATTCGTTGAAAAAGCAAAGCAAGTTAAAGAACAATCAAAAGACTTAACAACATACGAACGTTCATTTTATATTGGACTATTAAAAGATCAATCAGTTCGAATTAATCAAGAATCTTATCTTCTATTTATCATGTCCAGAACATATTATGATATATCAGGCAAGTATATGCTTGATCGTTTAGCTGGTCTATCAAAGCTGTTGTCAGCCAAATCAGACGCTGAGCGTACTCAATTATCCCAACAATTATCAGTGGAAACAAACAAAACACAAGAAGAAATTGAAAAATTAGCACGAGAACGAAAACAAGTGTATAGAACAGCGGTAAATACAAAACTCGCTGAGTTAGATAGTTTCATAGAAGATTTAGAACGAACGAATGATACACTGTCTATCAGATAGAACAACATATTTCCTGTTCGCATTAAGATTTCTTTTTGTTCTCTCCATTTATTTTAACTTGTTTTCATTCTTTTCTTGAATAAATAAAGCTTATACTAACAGTCCAGAAATTGGATAGTTGAATAATTGCGTTTCTAAAATGGCGTTTATATTAGGTCACATTATTTGTGGTCACCTTTCTTTTTCTCTTTCTGCCTCAAACAAAAATATACGTACATTGTCACTTCGAACAACACTTTCACCTGAAAACAAATAATGAAACAACATCTTTTGTTTCTATAGTGGGTCTTTTACAATAGTCACTGAGAATTGACTAACATCAACTTAAGTAAAGTTGGCTGCAGATTTTAGTATTTCTAGAAAATCGTCGAATGTCAAACTGTGCCAACTTAATTTGATGTTGTGCCATGTAGACTTCGCCGTGCTCCATCGGATGGTATATTTGATTTTGTGTAAATCCTTTTGGATCGCTGGAAAACCTCATTTTACACCATTTTTTAAATAATTGAATGAATGAATGAATAGTTGAATAATTGGACAGTCGAATAGTTAAGTAGTTGAATAGTTGGGGCATTCGATAGTTGAATAGCTGAATAACTGAATTCAGTTTTTGACTTCTCGGATACTGAACGTTACTTGTGTTTGAGATCAGCAGTAACCTTTGATAGAAGGTGACTATATCGGATAGTTTTCAAATATGCAATATTGTGTGCTGAATCGTGATCATTTTTCTCTCGGTTAGCTTAGTATGACATTTTCGAATGTGAGCGGCTGTGTTGCGCCTTGTACTAGCTCGGTGTGAAAATGATGGACTTACACCTTTAAGGTTGTAAAACACTGAATACTTCGGATTCAAGACACGAACGTTTAGAACATTCAAAGTAAAAACTGTTCTCGCCGCCTACGGGCTCTCGAGGAAGTTTAGCTGCTCGACACATAAGTATCTATGTTAGAGCGGCAACTATGTTTCGTTAGACAAAGAAAGATTTAACTGGGTCACAATTACCATCTGGCTCATCATTACACTAAATAACATCAAGCGTCCAAAATGCAAATTAAAGATTTATAGTATCACAAAAAACTTATATTTAATCGTTTTCTTTCCACAAGATATCTTGACTTAAACAAAGCATTACAACAGCATAATCATGAACAACAATGATATAAAAAATATTAAATTGATTTTCAAAAATAATTCAATTTGATTTGTACTGGTAGTATACTATACGATTATTTTTATAGAGGCATATGATACTGAAAAATTATTGTTGTCTAGCGAATATTGGAATGAACTTGGTAGATATTTTCATAAAAAGACAATAGATAACTAAAATTTAATTGAACATTCTGAAAATACTGCTGAAACAATACTTTTCTTACCTGGTTTGATGTCAGCGTCAACAAAACACACGGTAATCTGAAAATTCAAGCACAGTTATGTAAATCAATCAACTATCTCAAGACACATGACAATACGGTAGAATGCATCGATTAAACAACGAATTCCAAGGATGAAAAGATTGTGATGATGGTGTCTGAAAGTCTAGGAAGACAAGTTGTTCCCAACTTGCGCAACTCACTTCGATTTATGTGTTCTGTAGAGACAAGTCTCTGAACAAGTAATGGGCTCGACAACACAAGAAGGTCAGACAATATGCACTCCTCATCTCTTCACATGTGAGGAGTACATCAAGAAGACCATTTTCAATCTTCTAATACCTGTTTCCTCGTGTATATGTGCTCAACAAATACCTCAGCAATCTGTTTCTCTACTCATCACAGTATACATACGAGTTTTGGTGGTTTCAGCTCTTTATCGATGTTCTTCAACGATCTTTTATTTCTACCTAATTTTAGAAACTATAACATTTATTCTGGTTTGTTTGTTTAAGACAAATTGCACTGATAATACGTTAAGTTCTAAATTTAAATTGCAAAATGATCTTTGACAGTAGACAATAGAAGAGTGTTAAGGAAGCAATAAATCTTGTATTCAAAGCGATACATCATCAATATAAGCTGAATCAATTTTTTCATAGAAATGAGTTGTTGTTTGACTGGAATTATTTGATCTTCTTGGGAACAAATATAATGATGATTTTACATTGTAAAGAGGTTCAGTAACAACGTCACCAGGATTTAATATAGATGGAAAATTCTCCTTATTTGTGTACTCTCTGTGGTATCGATAAATGTAGACTATCAGAGAGATAACAGTAGTCACTGCTAAACTGCCGATAACTGAGCGCACAATTATAACAGTGCTGATGCACGTATGCTGTTGTTCCACGGACGGAGTTTCAAAAACTAAAGATTGTAATAAAACTTTTTCTACAGTTTTATTAATGTGTTTCATATTTTCGAGTGAAGTTTTATACCGAAGTATTATTAACTCATTCGGAACATTTAGTATTTACAGAATTTCTTGTTAACATAAATATCACTGTGTATATTTCTTTTATAATCGAACTATTAGCTTTATCTGCTAAATACTTAAACTTTTTAGTCAAAAAATTCTCAAAAATATACACTTACTTGTTGATAGTGTTAATGTGGATGGATAAGGCGCTGCTGTAGTATTAGAAACCGGAATGGATTTGTTGCTATATGAAAAATTAGATATTATAATAGAACAGTTGTATTCAACCTAAGGTAGATACCTTATAGCACATAAATTATCTATTGCAAATTGAGGACTATCATTAGAAAACGACCTATTTTGATTTTTTGTTCCACCAGAACTCATCAATCTAAATCTATCAATATCTTTCCAGTTCAGTCTTATGATTGCTCGAGTGACACACTTGAAGTGTTTCAGTCCGTCCAATTATTGTTTGACCGTTAAGTTTTCGAGTTAAACGAATTTTGGTCCACTAATTTATTGTCCCGGACTTTCGGACCGGGATGAAATTCCGATGATTTTTTGGCTCGGGCCGAAAGTCTAAAAGGAATTTCGGACTAAACCTTCATTTACCTAATTAATTTTATAAATAATTAGTAAACTTCGTGATGCTCAGCACTATGCACTTTCAATAAAACGTGAGACTCGGTAGTATGACATGGTGCTCAGCAAGATGAAAGTGGCGGTATTGGTGGAGAAACATGGATTGACTAAAATTAAAATTATATTGTTAGAGTATTGTGCTTTGCCTTACTTCTAATAGAATTGAATGCAATCTGCTAAACATCATGTTGCACTCACTGCTCAGCACCATATCGTCTTGCCGAACACCATGAAGTTTACTATTATTTATAGATTAATTAGGTAAATTAAGGTTCGGTCCGAAAGTCCGGGACAAAACGTTCGTGGGCCGAAATGCAGGCCTCTCAAGTTCTCCAGTTATGAATAGTCCTACATTATCAATGTCTATTGCTGCAGTAAAATGAATTGAAACAGTACTGACAAAAGAGTATTACAAAGCTTTCTTTGTTTACAGAATAAATCTCAGGCTTTTTTTATACCATTTACTTATCTTACAGAAACACTTGTTTCTATCTTTCGATTAAGGTTAAAGTGTCATTACAATTTTCCCCAATATGTCTTCATGTGCGATGTAGAATGAAAGAGGTGAAACCATTGCCGGCACTACAAACGTAGTTGCGACAGAAGGATCTGATTTATCACTACTGAATGGTCCTCAAGGAATATTTGTTGATTTGGATGATAACGATACATTGTACGTAGCAGATAGGAGAAACAAACGCATTTTAAAATTTAAGCAAGGTAATATAAAGGGAGAAGTGGTTGTTGCGGAATCTGACAACAGTGTTTTTGATCCAACTAATGTTTATGTCGATAACAAAAAAAATGTGTATATTAGAGATGAAGCTAGTGGTAATATTGTGAAATTCGCTTCAGACATCAAACATGCTAGTGTGAGAGTAGCTGGTGGTAGCCATAAGGGTGATGGCTTGAATCAATTAGACGGTGTCGGCATTTTCACCATGGATCGAAATAAACATTTGTACATAACGGATAGTCATAATCGTCGAATTGTCAAATGGGAACCAAATGTACAAAGTGAAATTCTGATTGCTGGTGTAAGTGGAGAGAATGGAGCCGATTCTCATCATCTACACAATCCACAAGGCATATTTGTTGATTCGTTGAATGATGTTCTGTATGTTGATGATACTGGAAATCATCGTATTCAAAAATATCATCCAGTTGGTAGTAACGTGATTGCTGAAACTGTAGCTGGAAATGGTACACACGGTAATAGTCTATTTCAATTGAATAAATGGCTATCACTGTTGATGGCAATGAAAATATTTATGTGACTGATATGGATAATCATCGAATAGTTAAATGGATGGCACGAAACTATACACCTGGTGGTACATGTGTTGCCGGTTGTCCTAAAGTGGGCAGGAGATTTTTCGGGTATCTACAGGATTTCAGATTTGATAGCAATAGCAGCTTGATTATTAGCGATTTACAGTTTAATCTTATCCAAAAACTTGCGATAATACATTACAAATGTGATTAATTATATTTAATTAATTTTACAACTGCTTTGCAGTTACTAGAGACTCAGACGGACCTTTCTCAGGCGTCCCTTGAGAAGGACAAAGTTAAGCCACGACAAGCAACACTCCGTTCACACCGTATGAGGGTGTTATATTCGTTGTTCTTAACGAACAAAGAACGGTAACTTTCACACGACGAGAGCGAACTGTTTGTGTCGAAACTACGATTAGTAAGAAGATGGGACGAACGCGTTAAAGCGTTGACTTTGTAATCACCATTTTGTTTTGCATGATCAACTCGTATATAAGTATCGCAACTTTTCCACTATATATAAGATGCATCAACTTAGAAATTTTAAAAATCTGTCTCTTCCTGTGTGTACGAGATTATCTATCATAATGGTACTGATGAATAGTACTTGGTAGGCCATGACTATGGTCTGCTACCTAAGATCGACCTGTACGTGGATTTTGGGACTCAAATACTGAATAAAAAGCAATCAAAGGTGGGAGAGAGATAAAAACGAGTTAAGGTGCGACAATAAAGCAGAATGGATAGTAACGGGTGTAAACTCCTGAAAACGTTTGTTCTAGAATATCTTTAAAAAAATTTGTTATAATGAGTGCGAAGGTGTCTGATATGTTAACGCGTTTAGAAAACTGTATGGTTCGGATGCGTTAAAAGTAAAAGAGTTTGAACGCTTTATTATGAGGTCTAACGTTAGCAAACGTTACAGATTGAACTCATTAAAACCACCGAATATGAAACATTTAACGCGGTTTTAACGCGTTAATCCGCTTACCGGTCGCGTTACAATTTTAAACTTTTCCTGGTTAACTCGTTTTAACCCAACTTTTAATTTTTTATAATGAAATTGTCTTTTTAACGAGTTATTATTAATTTCGAAACATTTCTGGTCTCATACAAGTTCAGCAGATAACACGTTTGCATACATTCCAGAGCATTTAACTTGTGCGCATGCGTTAAATTATTATTTTCTTTAACGCGTGCCAACCTGCGTTAGTGTATCAAAAATATTTCACGGGTAGAGGGTCGAACTGAAATACAACTACTATTCGATCAACGGTTGTAGATGTCATTGTAAAACTGAGTGCAATGCGAGCTCACCTTCGAGAGAGCTCTCGCTTTCGAATAGCACAACAGTGAAACTAGTTTTTATGCCATATGGCTAGTACTAATTTCTCAGCTTTTTACGAAGAGAGCGCTTACAAAAAGCCCGCGAATGGCACAAACTTGCAAATCGCTTTTGAGATGGCGATGCCAAATCTGACACAACTTTACTCGATCTATTGACTTTTGTTATTGGCACGACTTTTGTCATATAAGTTTCCGCTTCATGATTGATGGCAGCTAAATTGGTTTCTTATTTTATTTGAGGACTTCCTTTTAATCTAAGCTTTCGGATCATCAATTCATCATCAGAGTTACAAAATATTAAAATTTAAAACAGTTAAAACCACTCGATCAATAAAGGGAAAGACATTAAAATTTGTTTTTGTAGTTATTGTTATGATGACGAATCGGTAATTCGACAAGTTAGATTAAAAGTAATTAATACATCGTTACGACTAAGGTACACGTACACGGTAGGCATTTTCTGCTAGGGCAGGCGGAAATTAGTACTTTATTGGCTTTTTTAAATCTAAAAATAGTTTTCCATAGGTAACTGATGATTCTGAGTCTAATGGTGTAATCAGAATTCGTCTAGCTAGTTTTGTTTTTTTGAGATTATCCCAAAACGCTAACTTTCTCTTGTTTATCGCGTCAGAAAACATAGTATTGAACAAAGATAGGTTTTTCACTATGCCGAAACTGGCGAAAGGGCTTAGATTGTTCCTATCGAATAGGGATTTTCCGAAGTTTCCCGAAAGGTGTAGTTTTCTCAAATTTTTAGCAGACAAAAAACAGTTTAACAGTCTGTCAAATAAGCTGAATTCACTGCCGTTGTTGGCATTCCGATTATGTTAAGCTTACTTATCAAAAAGAGTGTTTTTCAAAAGCCTCTTTGATCATTTGCCTTGTCGCTCTTTCTAAATTGAACCTACACATGAGGTTTTTGATAAATAGCGCTGTTTACTGAGCTTTTAACCATCGTTTCTCCTTCTCAACGCGAAGAGGTCTCCCTATGCCCTCGAAGGAACGAGTGAAAAAACTTTAAATCATCGGCAGCCAACAGAAAACAATCAAATTATTAGGTAAAACAAGAAAAGTCAGGGGCTAACCGAATTAACCAAAAAAACGAAGAAAGACAAAACAAACAAAGAGTAGGATAGGATCAACTGAAACAAAGGAAGCTTTGTGTTTTACGAGATGAAGTTGGAGTTTAGACTCGATAACCGCTTTATTGTTATCAGTAGGTTCGACTTTGAAAAATTCACAGATTTTTGAAATTGTATCTGTGATGCTGTCACTGGCTTCACGGTAAAATGTAAACAACTGATGTAAACTTACTTCCATCGTACTTTGAGAATCTAGTGATTTGTTCGACGAACTTCGAGCAATATCAATATTGGAAGCATGAGACTCCTTCATGTTATTAAAGACTTATATTTAATCGATCAATAAAATATACTGAACGATCAATAAAAATGTACCAATAAATAAATGCATTTTTGACCAATAAAAAGACTTAAATAACAATAAGTTAACTAAAGTATCAATAAATAT